AACAACAACAACAACATATCCCTTTTAAACAGTTCTCTCCCTCATCTGTTTCAATTCAATATACATTCTTCCTCCCCTCCTTTTCTGTCTTCCTTCAACCCTGATGTCAGTCCCATTTTACAACAGTGGCCCGATGCACTATTTGTCCTTTTGTGACTGAGATATTTCACTCAGCATAATGTCCTCCAGGGTCATCCATTTTGCATAATACTTCATTAGTTCCTTATTTTTCAATGCTGCATAGTATTCCATTGTCTGAATATGGAGTTTCTCAATCCATTCATTTGTTGATGGGCATTTAGGTGTTTCCAACTCTTTGCTATTGCAAACAAAGCTTCAACATGGGTGTGCATATATCTGCTTGGGTAGCAGTTATAGTTTCTTTAGGGTAAATTCCCAGTGGTAGAATTGCTGGGTCAAATGGTATTTCTATTTGCAATTTTTTGAGAAAGTGCCATATAGCCTTACATAGTGGATGCAGCATTTTACACTCCACCAACAGTGAATAAATGTTCCAGTTTCTCCACAATCTCGCCAGCATTTCCACAACATAAACAGTCTTCCAAGCATCCTGGAAAATCTACAACTATGAGAAGATAAAATAGAAGAATTAAATCCCTATACACATCCAACAGTCTCTCCAACAGGGTAAAAAGGGAAGGTACAGACTGGGAAAAAATACTTAGAAATGACATTTCTGACAAGGGACTTATATCTAGAATTTTTTAAGATCCTCGTGCACCACAACAAGATAAAAGTAAATAACCCAACTGAAAAATGAGCACAGGATATGAACAGATACTTCACCAAAGACTACATTCAGGAGGCAAACAAACACATAAAGAAATGTTCAAAATCCCTAGCTCTAAGAGAGATACAAATCAAAACAACTATGAGATATCTCACCCCAGTAAGAATAACAAAATTTAACAGAACAGATAAATTATTTTTTTATTGTACTTTTGTATTGTACTGACCAAGATTTTGTTAAGGATTTTTACATCTATGTTAATGAGAGATAGTAATCTGTAGTTTTCTATTTTTGGCAATGTTGTTGCCTGGTTTTGGTATTGGGTTTATTCTTGCTTCATAGAATGACTCTGGGAATGTTCCTTGTTCTTATTTTTTTAAAAACTAATTTAAGTAGAATTGGTGATAGGTCTTTATTGAATGTTGGTAGAATTCAGCTGTGAAGCCATCTGGGTCAGGACTTTTATTATGGGGAAGTCTTCTTCTGACCTGTTCAGTTTCTTCTTTTTTGATGGGTCTGTTTTGGTATTCTACATCTTTCTGTGTCATTCTGGATAGGGCATAAGTTTGAAGGAATTTGTCCATTTCTTCTAGGTTTTCAAGTTTGTTCAGAGTATAACTTTGATAATATTCTGATATTATCTATTTAATTTCATCTAGTTCTGTTATGGTGTCACCTCTAATATTTCTTATTTGATTTATTTGTGGCTTTTTCTTTTTTTAAGATTGCCAATGGTTTGTCTATTTTATTGATTCTTTTTAAGAAGCTGGTTCTTGTAGCCAGAAGCTCTTGTTGATGGTATCAATTGGTTGTTCTGGTTTTTTATCTCATCAATTTTAAGTTTATTTGAAAAGGAAAGAGATCTTGAATAAGCAAAGCATTTCTGAAAAACAAAATTAAAGTGAGAGAAATAGTACTCTTTAATCTCAAACTCTCCTACACAGTATCAAAATAACATGGTACTTATACATTGACAGACATATAGAACAATTAAACAGAATCTAGAACCCAAAAAGTAATCTATCTACCTACAGTCAACTGTTATTCGACAAGGAAGCAAACCTATCAAATGGGGAAATAGTAAATGGTGCGGACCAAACTGGGCTGCTACCTGCCGAAAGCTGAAGCAGAATCAACATCGAATATCATACACAAAAACCAACTTAAGGATAAAGCCCAAAATCATAAAGATCATAAGAGACAAAATGGAACCAAACTTAGAAGACTAGCCTCTGGTATAAATAATGTGCCAAATACAGTCAGAAATGCACAACCAGGAGATGATAATGTCCATAAATGGGACCTTCTAAAGTCCCTGTGTGCATCAAAAGCTTTTTCCAAGAGAGTGAAAAGAAAACGTACTGACAGGGAAAAACATTTGGCAATAACGTCTGAATCTCATAACAAAAGTTTACAGAATCCTACAGGGCCTCCACAAGAAAAAGACTAATAACCCAATTAATTACAAAATGGGCAAAAGACATGAGGTTTTTAACAGACGAAGACATTCAGGTAGCAAACAGACACCTGAAGAAATGCTCAAAATCACTGGCAATAAAAAGATGCAGATCAAAACAGTGAGATACTATGTCACCCCACGAGCAGTGGCAAAGCTTAAAGGGACAACAAGAAATAAATGTTGGAGAAGATATGGAGAGATTGGAACTTAGACATTGTTTGTGTTATTGTGTTATTGTAAAATTGTACAGCCACTCTAGAAAGTAGTTTGACATTTACTCAAAAAGCTAGACGTAAAAATTTCGTATGACCTAGCTATTACACTGCTAGAAATATACCCCAGGGAAAAGAAAACTGAGATACAAACGGAGTTTTGTATGCCTGGATTCATAACAGCATTATTCACAATGTAAGAAAATGGAAACAGCCCAGATGTGCAACAACAAATGGATGGATTGAGAAATCATTGTGCATTCACACAGTGGAATACCATGTAGCACTCGGGAGCAATGCTTTTAAAAAATACTGCATCCATAATAGCTTGCCTCCGGAAACCCTATGAACTTGGAGAGAGGATGAAAGGCACCCAAGCGTCAAGGACTGTCCTTCATAGGGTCGCTATGAGTCGCCTGCGACTTGACGGCACTTAACCACAACATAACAACAACACATAACATAAATGAGAGGCTGTAGAGCATTATGTTAGTGAATTAACTCACTCTCATAAGGATATACGGTGCATAAGACCATTATTATAAAAATAGGAAAACCAGTAAGATGAGTTTAAGAGTTCAGAGGAATCAAGGGAAAGAGAAAAACCATGAATTTCCTGAGTTTGGTGGGCAGTGGGAATGAGGGAAAGATCTAATGGGGACCTCAAAAGATGGAGTGATAGTGGAATAGATCACTGTTGATTAATTTCGTAAAACTAAATGGATGGAGAATGATCATATGAAACACAAGGTTGAGTGACGGAATGTGTGAAACACAATGTGTATGAATTTTACATGCAAATCAGTAGAAATTTTTTTTTAAAAGAGCGTTTTGCAGGTCCATCTTTCAGCCTCTCTTCCTATCAATGCTTTCTGTATAATGAGTCTTAATATATTTTATATGTCCACCAAGATTCAAATTATTTAATAAGACATCTTTCTGGGAATTTAGCCTTATGTTTTTTTAACAACAGTATTTTTGTTTGTTTGGCTAGAGCTCCAGAACTGTTTAGTTATATAGCCAAAAATAGCCAAGAAGATGTGTTCTATGAAGATGACATTTGGCCAAGAGAAGATGAGAATGGGTAAGGTTCATGGGATCTTCTGCCTCACGATCCAAGTTTGTAGTTTCAATGAAGGATGTTACAAATTTGCCTAGATTGTCTATGTTACTGGTGGTTTTGTTCTTGTCTTTTATCTTTGCTTTAAGATGCTAATAGAAAATTTTTGTTTCAGTTATTTCACTACATTTTCTTAATTTAACATTTGTGATTTCTTTTTATTACTGAGCTTCAGTAATATAATAAAAAACATGTCTTTAGTAAGATTTATAATTAGTAACAGTTAAGTTTAGCAATTCAGTGTTTATTAATCATTTGGTAACTTTTCGAAATCATAGCCCTCAGAAAGTTTTATTAGTCCTTTTATATGATCAGAAATTGACAAAGTTATTGCTGTTGTTTTTCTTTTTAACGTAGTGCTGAGAAAGTCCAGGAAATTATTTCCTGGCTAAAAGGACATCCTGTCAGTACTTTGTCTCGTTCTTCTTGTGATTTACAAATTCTGGATGCAGCTATTGTTGAGAAAATTGAGGAAGAAGTTGAAAACTGTAAGGTAATTTACCTTCAGTAACCAAAATTATTACTGCTACTTGATATTATTAATGTGAATATTCTACAAATAAATGTTTCTCTCTCAAACAAATGTAACATGCTAACAATTACATTAGTCCTCTGCAGACAATCCCTAGGTTAAAAAGGAGGTCAGTTCTTTTGTGTTTAAGAATTTGCCAGGGCTTTGGGCTCAGATTAGTCAGTCTGAGGAAGCATCACCAGAATAGAATCAAATTTTTTAAATTGTGGTGAAACAAAAAAGTTACTGAATTGGTCAACACAAAGGCGCACAGTTCAGATTCACCTGTTGCTCCACAGGGGGACAGATAGGCGGTTTTGTCTTGTGCAAGTTATTGCCTCTGAAAATCCACTGTAGGGTTGGCTATGTAAACAAAAACATTGTGTGCTTGAGAAATGAGGGTAGTTTCTCATTCCTTTCTATCTAAACCTTTAAACCTGAACCTTGCCCTGTCCTGTGCCATTCTCACAATCTCTGATGCACTTGAGATCATTGTTACAGACACTGTGTCAATCAATCTTATCAAGCATCTTCCCTCTTTTATTGACCCTCCACCTTTTCCAAGCATGATGTTCTTCCTTCTTCAAGGACTGGCCCTCCTAACAACATGCCCAATGTATGTGAGAGGGTATTTTACTGCCCTTGTCTTCAGAGAGCACCCTGGTTTCATTTTCTCCAGGATGGACCAGTTTGTTCTTTTGTAATGATATTAGAGTGCTAAAAGGGAAGAAATATTGAAAATCAAGCAATACTATGAATTCAATTTAAGCTTTTCACTATAATACAGGGTTAGCATTAATAAAGTATCAATAATTTATTGGATAGTGCTTCCCAAATCAACTAATAAAAACATCTCCTAGTGCTTCTCAAATTTTAAGTTTCTTGTCTAGGACAGGGGCTATAACAGTGTGCTCCAGAAGGAGGTTGTACTGCTAACGCAGAAGCCTGCTTTCTCGTGATTCAGATCCACTAGGGCTCATGGGGAGAAAGGTGAGCAGTCTCTATCTACCTGTGTGATGTACAGCCTCAAAACCTAATAGAGGCTCAGCTGTGAAGCAGTTCAGATGGGACAGCAATGAGTTTAAGGTAGTACTTCAGTATTTCTAACAAGTTGAAAGGTATCATATTTTGTATAATGAGGGCCTGGACATTATCATTCAAATGACTAGACAGTGTTTCATTCTCTTGGACATAGGTCACTATGAGTCCACACCACCCAGAGTGCCCATAACAACAACTGTGGGTGGGGCTCATTGAGAAAGAGTTCTGGGCCATTCAGTTGTCTAGTGAGACTCAATCACCATGTTTTCTAAATAGGACTGTAGTTTATGCATCCTGTCTCCATACCTTTTCAACATGTATGCAGAGCAGATTATCCGAGAGGCTGGGCTCTATGAGGAGAATTGTGGCACCAGGATTGGTGGAAGATCTATTAACAATCTGCGTTATGCAGATGACACAACCCTGCTTGCTGAAACTGAGGAGAACCTCATGCACTTGCTGTGAAGAGTCAAGGACTGCAGCCTTCAGTATGGACTGAGGCTCAATGTCAAGAAGACAAAGATTCTCACCACTGGACCAATTGGCAGCATCAGGATGGATGGCGAAGAGATTGAGATTGTTCACAGCTTCAGTTTGCTCAACTCCACAGTCAACACTCTTGGCACCAGCAGTTTGGAAATCAAAAAGTGTATCGCAATGGGAAAGTCTGCGGTTAGGGACCTCTCTAAACTACTCAGGAGCAACGGTGTCTCTCTGGAGACAAAGGTGCGCCTGATACAGGTCATGGTCTTTGCAATCACTTGTTATGCATCAGAGAGTTGGACAATGACTAGGGAGGACAGAAGGAGAGTGGATGCTTTTGAGCTGTGGTGCTGGAGAAGAGTACTGAATATACCATGGACTGCCAGGAAAACAAACAGATTTATTTTGGAGAGGATTAAACCAAGCTACTCCTTGGAGGCAAGGATTCTGGGGCTTCGTCTGACATACTTTGGACATGTTGCCAGGAGGGAATGGTCCTTGGAGAGGGACATCATGCTTGGGAGGGTGGAGGGACAGCGCAGGAGGGGAAGACCCTCTATGAGGTGGATTGATTCAGTGACTGGGGTAATCGGTATGGGTGTGTCAGAGGCAGTGAGATTGGCACAGGATAGAGCAGGGTTTAGGGCTCTTGTGCAAAGGGTCACTATGAGTCGCAAATGACTCGACAGCACATAACAACAACAATAACAACAACAGGTCTGTTGCAGCCATAAGCATTTGAGTTTATATACAGTATTTCAGGCACAGAATTCTTGGGTGTATTTGTTATATTTTGTTTAATACTTTAAATCTCACCTCAAATTCTATTATTTCTTCTTGCTATTAGTGGGTCTACTACTCTGCCATGGACTGGGAATCCCTGTCAGTAAGAGCTTCACTGTTCACTCTGTTCAAAACTGTGGTCTCATCATTGCTAGTTCACTTGGAAAAGTGAAAAACCTGCTTGGTTTTTCTCCACACTTTTCAGTTTCAAAATAGTACTTTTATCCTCCCTTATTTTGTTTATTATACCTCTTCCTTAACTAGAGCTCTGGTGGTTTTGTCACTAGCAGAGAGTTGCAGCCAAGCCAAGGTGGCGCCTCTCTGGTGGTTTAAATCCACCAACTCCACAGGAGAAAAATGAACAATCTTTTCCTGCCACCTCCAAAAACGCACCAGAAGGCCAGTCAAAAGTCCGTTTCAGTTCAATAGCAATGTCATTGGTGGGTACCGTGGAGTCAGAATAGTCATGTAGCTGACATTCTGGCAAGTTTTCAGGGGCAATTAATCACACAGAGGATCTTTTTTTTCCCTTCTATTGTGGAGTAGCTGGTGGTTTTGAACCACCGCCCTTTGGGATTAGTGCAGCTTCTTAACCACTAGGCCACCAGTGCTCACTATGACAGCAGTGACTGAGTTTTTAACTGGAATAAAAGAAGGTTCACTACTTTATCCTGAACACCTGGAGCAATGAATACTGTGTAAGAATGATTTAAGAATTCCATGTTTGTGGAAAAAAATTAAATGTCTACATAATAAAAGACAATGAGGAGCTAGGTGAAGGGGGGAAAAGAAAATTACTTTAAAGACTTCTACACTTTACAGTCTGTAATTGCATCTATACATTTATGCACTCCGTGACTTATTACTCATTTCCCTAAACTATAGGTTACAAAGGAAACTGTTGTCATTTTTGTTATTAAATAAATTTATTTTACAATAATTGAAATTATATAGCTGTAATGGCTATAAATTCTTATATTTTTATTAAGCAAAGCAGGTAAGTGTTGCCATAGATAATTTTGTACCTGTTTTCTTTGACATAATCTGTGTTAGGCTTCATATTCTTTTTAGAGCACAATTTTCATTTGAATATAATAGCATTTATATGAAATTAAAAAAGGAAATTAACTTTTTGTGTTCCAAGTAAGGTTACTGTTAGAAAGGAGGTAACTTGGAAGACTGGGTGTGCCTGGTCCCTGTGCTGTTCTTGGTAGTATTTTGTTTCTTGAACCTGGTTATGAGTTTATCATTACAAAATTTAGATTTATTAAACCATGCACTGATAATGTTGCATTTTTCCACATACAGTGTTTCAAGAAAATAACATCTCTGTCAGAATTTAATTAGGCGTTGGGCGCTTTTTTTTTTTTTTTTTTTGCGGGTGGGAGGTGGGATTGCGTTTGGGTATATTTTTTCGCTACTTTTGTAGAAACTTCATATATTCTTTTTTTTATTATTAAATTTTATTCATTTTAATGAACATTTACAGAGATTTGGGGTTTTCATTCATTGTTGCACTAGAAACTTCATATATTCTTATAACTGATCATTTGGTTTGGCTTTTCCAAATTCAGACATGAAAATATGTAAATAATGTAATGTACTTTTAGTATTTTTTAAATTTTAATTATTTTTTTAATTGTTTTCTCAGCAAAGAAAGAATAATAAGAAGGTACGAGTGACAGTGAAGCCCCATTTGCTATACCGAGTAAGTTTCACGTTTTGCTTTGAAAATGTAGAAGGAACAGAAATGGTTGTTAATATATTAGCAGAGAAATCTTTTTGTTCCATACTAGAATTAATAGCTTCTTCTCTTCAGCCGTTGGAGCAGCAACATGGAGTCATTCCTGATCGGGATGCAGAATTCCGTCTCTTTGACCGTGTCATCAATGTGAGAGAGAACTTTTCTGTTCCCATTGGCCTTCGAGGCACCATCATAGGAATTAAAGGGGGTAAGATCTCAACACTTGATATGCCTGCAGTTGTACATAGTGCAAAATAAACAGAAAACAACTACAGATCAGGAAAAAAGTCAATCCTTTCATATTCCAGATTTGGTTAGGTGTTTTCCCTCCAGAAAATGTTCTCCTTTTCTATCTTACATTACTGTTTAGGAAATGGTTAAAAGAAGAAGTTGCAAAAGGAGTGCTGAGAAATTAGAGATTTCTGTATACCACATTATAGTTAAGGGAACCCTGGTGGCCTAAAGGGTAAGGAGTTGTTGCACTGCCAACCCTCAAGGCAGGCAGTTCACATCCACCAGCTGCTCCTAGGGCGAAAGATGAGTGATCCCTTCCCGTGTGATTTGCAAACTGAAAACCCACTGGAGAGTCAATTTCAGCCTTGACTAAGCATAACAACAGCAACACGTTACAGTTTACAAGACCTTGGCAGGAATGAAGGTTTTCATGAATCTGAGAGAAAATTATCATCACCACTTCTTAATCTCTCATTGAATCTTTTTGTTTTTTTCCTGACAGTAAAATAGTAATGATGGGTTTAATGAGATATCATCTCACCCCATTAAGAAGAGCAAAATTTGACAGAGCAGCAAACAACAAATGTTGGCGAGGTTATAGAGAAACTGGAACCCTTATTTACTGTTGGTGGAGTGTAAAATGGTGCAACCACTATGGAAGGCAGTATGGCTCTTTTTCAAAAAGTTGCAAATAGAAATACTATTTGACCCAGCAAGTCCACTACTGGGAATTTACCCTAAAGAATCCAGAACTGCCACCCAAGCAGATATTTGCACACCTATGCTTATTGCTCTTTTGTTCACAATAGCAAAGAGTTGGAAACAACCCAAGTGCCCATCAACAAATGAATAAATAGAGAAGCTGTGATATAGTCACACAATGAACTGTTATACAGCACTGAAAAACAAATAACTCATGAAATATTCAAAAAGGGTAACCATGGAGGACAGTATGCTGAGTGAAATATCGCAGTCATAAAAAGACAAATATGACATAATGCCACAGTTATAGAACAGGACTGATAGGGGGATTTGGGGGAAACTGAGAAAAGAGGACATAAATAATCTACATGGCATTGAAACAGATGAGGGAGAGAACTGTATAAAAGAATTATATGACTGGGTATTATTTGCATGACAAGAGTCCAGAATAAGAGTTACATAGT